CTAAAATAACCGAATTTTTTTTTTTAAATATCTAGTAAGCCATGAACTTTTTCAAAAATCTGAAAGGCGCATATTTATGACTCCACAAAACTGCAATTCTTTCCTCATTTAACCGACTTTCTATCTCCAATAGTCTCCGAATTAAAATGTTCCAAACTAAAACTAGTTGAATAAAAAACAATAAACAGATTGGCTTTCTTTTATTTGAAATTCTAAGGAAAGAATAATTTAAAAACATTACCTATAAATTAGTTAAAACAAAAACAATTAATTTCATAATTTCAACTTACAATAGTCGGCAGAAAATTAAGCAACTCTATAAATTAATATTTTTCTTTTATAAAAGTTCAACGTCGCTCCAGATGTAAGCCAGACATTTTCCCAGCCGTACTTTTTCCCTCCTTCGGAAAACATGACCGCCATCTTTTACTCAAAATGCCTTAATACATCTTAAGCACACATAACTCACCGTGGAAGAACTTTCGCAATTACTTTACAAGTTTAAATTAAACTTGGGCTCGGAATCCGTTCACTCTGCTCTCGCAATTGTACCAGACTAGATGTAAAAAATAGCGGCAATGCTATATTGTATGAGAGGAAAATGAAGTGTGAGAGGAACGGTTTAGAGGTTATCGAAAGGGAGATTTGAGGAAGTTTGAAGAGGTTAATGCAAGAATTAGGAAATAATAAATATTTAAAATAATCTGGCATACCGCTATTCCATTTTTTGTATCAGACAGTATAAACAAAAGCAACTCCTTTTATCAAGATATTTTTATTTTTATTTAGTATATTAAAATCCGGCTCAGAGAAACTGGTTGCTGGACGGAGAAACTCTACGGTCACAGCAGTATTCTTGGAAGATTATCTGACACCTAGGTTGGAACTTGGCAAGAACTTTATAGTCAGAATTTCAACCAGTAGTAAGTGGGAGACTCACAAACTACTGAAGGGATTTGATATTGCGCTATTTACTGAGGGATCCAAGATGGATTCAGGTGTAGGTTCGGGGGTGTTCTCGAAGAGTCTTGACATCGCAAGATTTTACTGACTTCCGGATAGATCAAGTGTTTTCCAGGCAGAGATACTTGCCATTTGGACAGCCTGCGAATGGTTTGAGCGAGGAGACACCTTATGGGCGGAAAACGGCAATAATCATGTTGGCGCTGAACTCATCTACAGTATCCTCCAAAATAGTCAAGAAAACGTACAAGTTATCCTACATGGCAAATAGGTATGATATATCCTTGCTTTGGGTTCAAAGCCACATGAACATCAAAGGGAACGAACGCGCTGATGAAGTTGCAAGGCGAGATCGTGCCTTGAGCTAGATGCATCAGAGGAAGTTTTTACTCCCCTAAATACCATAAAAACAGACATTTACCACTATTTCCACTATGGTGAACAGTAGATGGAAAACTTTAAGCACCTGCAGGATAGCCAGGAAAACTTGGCCCAAATACGACCTTAAGAAATCGAGAGAGCTCATAACTAAGTTGCGTAAGGATATCGCCAGGCTTACGGCGGTATATACGGGATACTGGCCGATTGGTGAACATACGGCGAGAATGGGCATCCCTTTTAACGAAGTTGCAATGACCCGAAGGAAGGAGAAACGGTTCTGCATTTCCTGTGCCGCTGTCCGGCTTTGTATGGGATTCGCAACCGTTTCCTCGGTGGTTGTAGCTTTTTAAATTTTGAAGATGTTGCCAGGAAGACCATAACGAAAGTCGCCCGGTACCTTAATGCCACCGAATGTTTATAAACAATTAACAGTCCAACTTTTCCTAGGGATAGGGTCTCAGAGTAGTATCAAAACGGCAATTCTGCTAATTGGAGTTCGACAAGCGACAAGATAGAAAAATAGCGAAATACATAAACACTAACATACCATAACAAACATACAGCTAGCAATAAAGCAGGTCTCAAAATAAATTTAGCAAAAACTAAAGAAATCTATAACAAACTAGTGGAGAGGCCAGACATTCTAATAAATAAAAAACACAACAATGAAACTAACACAGCTCGAAATCTCTAATACCAAAAATCAACAGAAGAATTAAGTATGGAGTACTTATGGAAGAAACCCAATCATATTAAAACCTAGAATGCCATTCTATTTAAAGAAGAAACCATTCGACCAATGTGTACTACCAGTCATGACCTATGCATGCGAAACCTGGACATTTAAAACGGAGGAAACTGCAGGTCGCATAACGCTCAATGGAACGAAATATGCTGGAAATTCAAGAAAAAAAAACCAAGAGAGACCGTAAAAGAATAGAGTGTCTTAAAACTTAATATATTGAATTTAAGAAATATGTTTATTTTTAAAACTTTAATTTAAATAATTTTATAGTGACATTTATAAAATGTGTTCAATTTAATCTTTTTAAGTTTTATTCATTTTGTTTATTTGGCGGTCTGCGGAACCAAACACGCTGATAAATCAAAAACTATCCGCTCATGTGAATATATTTCAGGAATTTGGTTAATATATTCCTGGATTTTTGCCACACGCACAACCAGCAAAAATTAACTTCGCTGATCTTTTTCTGTTATCCAAAGCAGATCGAAAAAATATTTCCATATTCGGATCTGGAGAAGATAGGTCCATTATGAAAATTGGTTTTACCGCGTCGCAGTAAGCTGCAACTCTAGACCGTATATTCCTCCGTGGATAAAGAAATAACGGTTCAACTCTGATGTCAACATTTTTTCCCGCTGTTTTTGTGTTATATTCGGTTGGTAAGTTTAAAATTTTAACAAAAAAAAATTGTTGATGTAGTCTAATCGCAAATAATATATATTTAATTTCTTCAAATATAATAAATATATTTTTATAGTATGAGTATTATGTTTTTTTGTACTATTTTATAAATAAACGTTGGCGGTATAATATATCATATATGGAGCTGGGCTTGAAATATATTGTTTATTATTTTTAAGTATTTAAAATTTCAAAAATGTTACAGATTAAATTCAATGCTGAAACTATTATAATTTTTAACTTTCATTGTCTATAGTTAGGGGTTAAAATCCCATATAACGTTTCGGTCAGACCTATCAATATTCATTATCAAGTGCAAACTAATCTCAATCTTAAAACCACTGAGCTTCTATCCTAGACCAAGACATTCACCAGTAAAAAAGTTAGATGTTAGAAATCAACCACTGCTTGTCTATTGATTAATGCGTTTTACAAGATAATTTCCATTCCCAAGATGTTGTTATTGCTTAATAGAAAAACGGCTTCTTTAAATTTACGTTTTTTCCAATAATTTATTGCTGTGATGTTCTGCTTGAAAAACGTGATCTGCAATATCTGACTTCATTGTTTCACCTTCTTGTACACGTTTCTTATGTTCGTTAATATGTACATTTAGTAGGGGTTTGGTCTCTCCAATATACAAGAGACCCATAAAAGTAGTTAAATTCTATGATGTACCTGTATACATGTTGTCTGTGTGTGCACGTTTTATTGACTTTTAAAAATTAGGATAAGTTTTAACAAAAAGTAACAAATCTACATTCAGGATGGACTCATATGAAAAAGACCAAGTTAATGTTCGAAACGTCATGAAACATTAATTTTTTATCAATAAATAATAATTAATGGATTAAATCTCTAAAATATTTATTTACGCCTGACTTCAAATCAAGAATAAAATTTACTTAAAATATATTTCATAAGGTCAAAGAATAATTGAAACTAAAATATACAAGGGACTTCTATATACGAGTGTATATTCTTTTATTTCGATGTTTTCGGCTTACCTTTTATTAAGATGCTTCTTAGATTGGCAGTCATTCCAGATTGGAAGACAATTTTAATGTTTAATTGTTTGACTAATCGCCTGATCATTTCTGAGGTTCCTTTTACATATGGAATAGTCAAGAGAGAAAAAGAACATCTTCCTCAAGTTGGTGCACAAATGAGTCAGTTTTATACTTTGATATAATTTTGTCCAGATTTCCCAGAATAATAATTCTAAAGCAAATCCGTTTTAATATTATTTAATTCAGCATTAAGTGATGCTTGCTCACTGCACTACGGAATTTCTTCGATGACATAATTTTTTAACTATTCCTTACTTAATTGCTTGAGGATGGTTTGACTGAAAATTCATATATTGTCCCGTATGTGTCTGTATGTGTTTCTACTACCAAGGACATCTAGACAGGACAAAGAGAGTTTTTTATATAATCCTCAATCGAAAACTTGATGGAGTCACTTAGTAAATTGAGATGATATCTGGCTACGATATGTTGACGATACTTTCATTATCCGAAAAAAAATGATAGACAGTTGGATTCTTTTCTCAATGATCTCAACCATAGAAGTTGATGGTTTATGTTTTTAAACGGTTTTATTTAGCTCGACCCGTACGGTATTTATTCATTTGTTTGTATATTTGGGTCAAAATTAGAAATTGAATTAAGTTGTCACTTAGACTGTTGTCAGATTGATCTGAAATTTGGTACACACCTTTAGTTCCGATGACAATACAATATAGTAATATCAATAACATTGTAAATCTAAGATGGCCGCCGGTACAAAATGGCGGATTTCATATTTTTCCACAACCCCTCAATATGGGTATCAAATGAAAGGGCTACACTAGTAGAATACTGTGATTATGACAAAATTTAAAAATCCAAGATGGACGTCGTTACAAAATGGCGTATTAGGTGAGGGCATGAGTAGTCGTGTCTAGAACAGTTGTGTCCAAGATTGTGTGACGTTATAAGGACAGATAAAAAAATAGGTGATTAGATGTACCTACGTAGTTAGCGGTAGCTTTACCACCCAAGTTAAGGTAATAGGTTAAAACGTGCTGAGGACTGTATGGCATTAGGGTGGCTAAAAATGTAATGTCGCAAGGGTTTTCCCCTCAAGATTGGGCGCCTCTTGTTGTATATTATAGCCTTGCTATACTGGACTTACTGGACCTCTGGGGGTGTCGACCGTTAAAATGTCCATTACTCGTGGGAACAACATGGATGAAATTTCAATGGTATCTTATCAAATGCTGTGTATGATTGACGCACGATTAAGACAACTTAAAAATCATGAAGACGAGTTCTTTGGAGGCATAAACGTTTTACTTTTTGGAGATCTGTTACAACTGCCTCCAATCAAACGCTCCGGAGCTCCTGTTTTCAAACAGCCCGATCATCTCCAACCAGCCACACATCTATGGCGTTTGTTCACGCTCTGTGAGCTGACGGAGAATATGCGTCAGCAAGGGGACCATACTTTTATTGAAATACTAAATGCTTTGAGAATAGGTGAGCTAACCGCTAACCATTTTAGTATTTTGATGCAAAGAGTTATTCAAAACCCAAGTGATGAGTTTGCAACAGACAAAGCGTTAAGGGTATACACTACTAATCAGCAAGTAAACAATCACAACGCTGCTGTTTTAAATCTGTTCCGGAATAAGGGATCTCGAATTTATACCATTAAAGCACAGGACCAATTAATTGACGCCACACGAAATACAGATACTTTAAATTTAGCAAATATAATACCAACAGATATAAATAAGACTGGAGGCTTACCATCAGTACTTGAAATATTTGTAGGAGCAAAAGTAATGTTGCGGTCCAACATTGACGTTACAAAAGGATTGGTAAATGGTGCTACAGGCCACATTACAGAAATTGTTTGGCCTCAGTTCCGTCGAACCCAAATGTACGAAACAGATGTACCATCAGTTTGGATTGACTTTGGCAGAGACGGCATACAGGTTATACACCCGAAAGCCATTCAGTTTCCAGCAAAATTCAATTATGGTACGGCTGAAAGAAGGATGTTACCCTTAATTTTGTCATGGGCATCCACCGTCCATAAAATGCAGGGCAGCACAGTCGACCTTGCAGTAATGTATTTGGGCTCAAAATTGTTTGAGGAAGGGCAAGCATACGTGGCTCTAAGTCGAGTCAAGTCTCTGGAAGGGCTATGTATTGAGAAATTAGATTGTAATAAATTATCAGGTAAAAAACCATGTAATAATGATGCACTAAATGAATTAAATAGAATGAGGAATATTCGGTAGGCATTTCCGTTAAATACTAAAAACTAGAAAATAAAAAATCGATAAAAAAAACTTTTAAGTTAAACTGTTTTATCTTATGTGCACTGAAAACTAGAAAATAATAATAACAATTAGGTATTTTGAACTTCTAGTTCAGAAATATTTTAGTACTAGGCAGAATAGCTTTTAGGCATATTAGACCAAAATAAAAACGTGGGGCCCATTAGCTATTGCTGTAATACTTTCTTCTATACTAAGTGTGGATTGCATCGACTTACTATAATCGTAACTGGAGATTTTGACATTCAATAACCAGCCGTGGCGGCTTCACCAGCGAACGCCGAGCTCATGATCTACCAAAGTATAAAGATATGCTTTGCCATAGGTAGGATTTCAGGGGGGCCCCACGTTTTTATTTTAGTCTAATATACCTAAAAGCTATTCTGCCTAGTACTAAAATATTTCTGAACTAGAAGTTCAAAATCCCGAGGGGTAAAACCGCAGAGGAATTATGGTGTACACTATGAAGGAATTCTACAGGAATTCTAAGGAATTACGAGGAATTCCAAGGAATTCCATAGGAATTACTAGGAATTCCAATTATTTCCGTAAAAATTCCAATGAATTCCAAGGAATTCCTTAGAAATTTAGAGGAATTCCACAGGAATTAAGAGGAATTACAAGCAACTTTATAAAAAATTAACGAACATTAGTAAACCATGAATACTATAATAGGTAGTACTAAATTTAAAGAAAAACGTTTTGCAGACGATTTTTTACTATCCGTTTTTCATTTTCGCTTCCAAAATTTCCCAATATCAAATATCTGCAGGTTAGATATTCTTTTAATTTAATATTGTACCCTCGATTATATATCTAAAATATTTTCCAATAGTACGGCCGAACCACCCCCGAGAGATCTACTTATAACGTTCCCTGATTTCGCCATTTTAAAGAAATCCTCATAAGATTTTTTTATTCAGTACTCAGAAAGTGTAAAGTTGATTTTTTCATTTCCTCGGAATAATACCTAGGTATATACTATAGGGAAATTAATACAACTTTAGGTGCACTTCATCAGTGATACCATGCGTAATCTTATGGAATTTACTGGTGATCGTATTATGACGTGCAACTGAAGTTTTATTAATTTCCTTTCCTATAGATACGAGTATAACTAGGTACCTATCATTTCAAAAATCCTGAGAAAAATTAATTTTAATAAGTAAGTGCCGACATATTTCCAGTATTTTTACCTCATGATCCTCTATTAGTCCTAGAATTTAACTAAAAAAAACTTAAATCTCGTAATAGTACGTTTTATTGTTAGATCTAGGACTTATAGAGACATTAGACATTTATAAAAATCACCAGAAAATTCATATAGCGGAACTGGTGAAACCGAGGTGGCAACGCTGGTTCAGACTGAAAGAGTTACCGAGTTCGTACCAAGGAATTCCAAGGAAGACCTTGAATGATTGACCTTGACCTTGAAGACCAGGAATTCTAAGGAATTCCGAAGGAATTACGAGGAATTCTGAGGAATTATTTGAGTAAAAGGAATTACGGTGTACACTTTTCCCTCTGCGGTTTACCCCTCGAAAATACCTAATTGTTATTATTATTTTCTAGTTTCCAGTGCACATAAGATAAAACCGTTTAACTTAAAAGTTTTTTTACCGATTTTTTATTTTCTACCGCGGACAATTAAGGATTCGGTACTTTTGTTGGCATTCTGAATAGTAAATTTTTCTAAAAACTGGTTTAAATGTTCTTAACTTGAGTGCCTGAAAAAGGGAAAATAAAGGAAAAACTTTTTTATTATTGACATTTACAGAAAAATCCATTTCATAAAAAAATTTGTTGATTCTAAAATGGTTAATACCGTTTATAATTTTCCAAATTTCCATACCGTTTCAGAGGAATTAAAAAAAACATGAAAATGCAGTTGAATTTTTTCTAAATCAAAAGGAGTATCTATGGTAATATAATTTCGCTTTCATTCTTTGATAGATGGATATTATTAATTTTGATTAACGTCATTTTTTTTACTGTTGTTAAAGTATCACATATTTTCCGATAACTATTATCACCCTTTCAGTAGCATTGAACTAAATAAACGTTGTGCTTCATTAACATTTTAAAGCAACAAAAATATGACGTTAACTAAAATTCTTCAATAACAATAAACAAAATAACAATGTATCAAAGAATGAAAACGAAATTATATTATCATAGGAACGCGTTATTTATAGGACTTCTCAGTTCAGTCACAAAAATTCAACAATATTTTCATGTTTTTTAATTGTCTCTAAAACGGTATGGAAATTTGAAAAGTATAAAGGAATTAACCATTCTAGAATAATGAATTTTTTATGAAGAATGCATTTTTCTCAAAATGTCAATAATAAAAAGTGTTTCCTCTGGTAAAGACAATTGAGGACATACTGAATAGTATGATTTATATATTCCAATATGAATTCCCAGAAAGTCCTAGTTATGTTGAAACTGTACAAAATATAACTCTATAACAAATTTAATAAGTAGTTCGGTATCCATAAAATATACATGATCTAGAACTACCGCTTACGCACATTCATCTCTGGGAAAACATTAATGACGAATGAGCGATCCGTTACGAAACTTTCTCACCCGAGACGATATGCAGATTTACGGTCTCTCTGCTAAGATGGAGCATGAATTTCTTTGGGTGGGTGTTTTTTTAATAATACTAAGAGGCTCTGAACGAATGCTGACATTTGTTTTTAGCTAACCAGTTTTCGAAAAAGACATATGTGTCTCGAAAATTTAAAAACTTTTGATGTGGTTGTGGAAATGTGTCCTTTGAATAGATAAATTAAGGAAAGAGCATATTACTTATCTAACATATGTTATATACTTACCAGTAAAAATATTCCCTTATTTATCTCGATTTTTGGTCGTGATCTACCTTAAGCTGCACAACCAACTATAATACAGTTTTTTTCTGGATTTCTTTCTGCAAAAATTTCACTGTTAATTTAATTTCTGACACAATATCTTTCTAGAATTACCACCTCTAAACAAAAGCCAATTGTAAAATAAATAATAAATACACTAAAATAAGAAATGCACAACAAATCCGCAAAATTTCAAATCAAATAAAAAATGGGCGTTTGCGTTTAATATTTTTAAAACAAATAATTAATTTATAAGTAATTTTTGGTTAAATTAAATAACCAAGCCAATACAACTAAAATACACTAATATTAAGATTGATTATATACTACGGGCTAACTAAATGTCTCGATGACAGGTAATTAAGACTACTGTTTCATGTCTAATACTGAGAAATCGATTGTTGCAGGGCATAGGTTAAGCTAAATTTTGATGATGATGATTTATATTTTGATATGCTGACTATTGGTGATTTAGAGTTCTAGAAATGACCCATCTTTCTGATGTATATTAATGAAATGAAATAAGTTATTTATCTAAACAGCATATTATATTAACACAGAAATCAGATGCCACGCCCTTTCTAATTTGAAGTTCAATAAAACACAAGTTTACTTAAAGCAGAATGAGTTACATAGAGGCCACTAGTTTTTTAATTTTAATAGCCGGGTGGTCGGGGTTCAAAGATATTAATAAAAGGGCGCCACGAGATTATACTCTATGAACTCGGCAATAAAGATGTAACTATTAAGTAGACTTCAACACTAACCTCGAACTGTTGAGTGTAACTACCATGAACTTCAAATGTTACTATAATTATTTAAACTTAAGTGACTTTAACTTAACTATGAGACTAGACTGTAAATAAGACTACTAAAAATATTTAATCAATTTATTAAACTATGAAAAAGTTAATATATATATAAAGTAATGAATGAAATGTAAGAGAAATGAAATGTGTTAAGAAAAGCAAATTGAAATGTACGAAAAGAAGATAGAATTAAAATCAAATGAGAAATAACTAAACCTATGACGTCAAACCCCCTTATCTAACTTAATACTAGATACAATCAGGGTGGTTTATACCCATAAATCAAATCTAAAATTATACAAATATCTAAACAGTCTTACTATACTCGATGGGATATACTTGAAAACTTCCTCCGGCTGAGCTACGGCGTATAGCTACAGGGTTGCTAAGGCCGTGTACAGCAGCTCGATGTACTGTCAGCAGAGGTACAGGTGAAAGGTAGGTGTTGAGATTTCAAATGGTGAACATAAAAAAAACCCTAAATAATATTGGTTGTCTTAGAAAAGTGCCTCAATTATAGAACAAGGACTAGCACAACGTGTAGGAGTTAATAAAGGTAATAAAGAAGGACTAATCAAATCTGAATTTTACCTCAACGAGGGTTTATGATGTCCAACGGGTAACTCTACACACGGGCAACAGGAACGGATGGAATTCTGGACTGTTCTGTGCTGTACGGTCTGGATCGGTCTTCTTGCTCTACAATTACGAACAACCAAATAAGATTTAAGAAAAATAACACTCAACTAATCTTTCTACACCACGTGGGCGTGGAAAAATCGATAACCAGTCAACAATACGAATAAAAATCAGTTGAGCATTGACTTAGACTAGGCAGAAGAATTATAGCATTCCTTGGAACTATTCGGGGACTTCTTGGGCACGTGGAATCGGAATATCGGTCGGAAAAATTTGGCTATTTTAATACCATTGCGGAAATTGGTCGGTGGTCCATAAAAATCCACAAAATCCAACCACGTCTCTGACCAAATGTGTTTCGGAAGCCTTAATCCTGCTTTACGAAGACCTGCTATTCACCAACAGGGAATGCTTCACGAAACGGCAGCCAGTTCTTCACGACGATATTCTCGGTCGGGGAGTATACAAGAAGTGATGCAAGGATTAGATTTCCGTCACAAAATCAGATTTCAACCGGAAATCTCCCTCCAGGATATAGATAGAGAACTATATATCTTGACTAGTCCAACTCA